CATAATTTCGTGCCAAACGCAATGTTAAATCTTCGCGCCTTTTCTTTGGACTGATCTATTAAATAGGTGTGATAGCTTCAATGAAATTAAGAAAAAAGAATGTTCTCATAGCCTACATTTCGAGGTTTAGAAAACATATTTAACACATTGTACACATTCTATAGAAAAGTAACACATAAGCAGTGAAATGACTATAATTTAATTTTTTTATCTCAGGTCTCAGAAGTAAACTATGCCGATTAGTTACACTTTCATAAAAAGGTTGAATTGTTTCGCCGAAAAACATGCCTCGCTCTACGACAGTCAAGGAATCAGATACCATTTATGTTCAATAACTTGATTCAGATCTTTGAGAAAAGAATGTTAATATAAACTCCATTAGACGATCTTATTAAAATGGTTTTCTTATTTTTGTCTTTTCTATTCGTTTAATTTGATATTATTAATATCACACAAGTGTGCATGGGAAAAACAGTGGTTATACATTTTATACTTACTATATACATGCATCGATATTGCTTCTTGAAAAACTATAACTTATAACTATGATTTAAGATCTGTTTTTCCGTCTTGCAAAACAAATGATAACAGGTGTCTCTCATTTGCACATTTAGTCTTTTCTTTTTCTACTTTGAGAACCAACCAAAACCAGTTACAGAAGACGTTTGAGAAGACCCTGGAATAAATCTTTAGTTTGACACAAAATTGTAACGTAATTACTACGTGATCTATTAACGCGAAAACCATTAAGCTATTGGGAGCACTGCTCTAAATATACTTGTGTATACATTTGCAACAGTACACCTGTCTAAGAATTATAAAAGGCAGGCCACTATTGATAATTTCGCGCCAAACGCCACGAGTAAATAATCGCGTCTTTTCTTTGGACTGATCTATTAAATAGTGTGATAGCTTCAATGAAATTAAATAAATAAAACGTTCTTATCGCCTTTATTTTATTTCGACGTTAAGAAGGTATATTTAACACATTACATATCGTATCTAGCCCAGTTACACTAAAGCAGTGAAACGGAAATTAAGTTTTAAGATTGACACGTAATTACAACGTACTGCTACGTGAAAGTCCAAGTAGTTTTTTACTTTTCATGTATCCTTATGTCAGAATGGTTTAATCAAACGCTCAGCTGCCTCCATAAACCCCTACTCGCGAAATGGCGGAGTTGACAGAGGCAGACGCCATCTTGGACCCGCTTCAGATTTTCAAATATTAATATCTAGAGTTAGATTAACCAATATTCAAACAACTTATATAGTAAGCATCAATAGAAGGGTCTCTATTAATATTCCAAAAAGAAATATATAAAAAATGTTGAAAAACAAAAAAGTTAGAAAATACGATTTTTCTTAATTCGCTTCTCCAAACGACAGGAAGTACCGACGACTAACAAAAGGTCGCGTCCTGGATAGTATATATCACAATCTATAATCCCTGAAAGTTTCATATTGATATCTTTTATCGTTTTTGAGTTAAATCGTGGACAAAATGTCATTTTAATTTCAGGAAATTGTCCATAACTTGGCACCGGAAGTGAGTTTCCAAATTTTCTCTCGGATATAATAAATTCATGTTACGACACATCTGTCCTGAAAGTTTCATGTAATTTCATGCAGTAGTCTTCGAGAAATCGCGTGCACAAAATTAAAAAGTCAAAAAAATAAGAAAAATAATAATAATAAGAAACAATAGAATCACTATAAGGTCTTCCGTGAAGACGGAAGACCTTAATTACAAATTGTCGCATAGGTTCACGTCAGAATATGGCCGACGCAAAATAATTCCTGTATTTTCCTCTTTAACTCGAGCATTCCTGCATTGGACAGGTCTGATATTTGATATGAGATGATAAACCATGTGTAAACTTTCTTAGTATAGCGGAATCATGAACATTTTCGGCGTGATGAATGAATTGTTTACAGTAGCGATGAGGCCACCGCGCAGCTGCGAGCGGATCCAAGGATTTATGAATGAATTAAAAAAGATGGAAATAGAGTTCGATTTCTTTTATTTTATTTAATGACATTATTCATATGCAAGTAAAAGATATACAAGAAAATGCGAGATGCTAATAAATGCAGCTGACAATCTTTATTTTCTCAAGATAATTTTTTTTTTATGAAATAATTATAAATTCTACAGACAAAACATAGGAAGAATGAATGATAGCAAATTATCAGATGACATAAGGGGAACTAAATTTTTTTATGAATGAAACTTTTAAAACGTTACTTGTAAGTTGTATATGTTATATCTGCTAATTCTCCCTGGCTGCGCGCTTCCGAGGGGGGGGGGGGGCTGTCTTGAATATAGACTTGAAAATTACCAGATTATTTTGTAGAAAGAATTTAGCCTTATCATTTTCTTAATTTCAAGAAGAGTGCCTTGTTATATAAATGTCAAGGTCATTTTATGTAGAATGTAAAACATTAAAGCGGAATTAGCATTCATTTCAATAAGTGAGAAAGGCGGGGGCTAGGTCTCTTACAGTTTTCAAAAAAAAAATGGGGGCGGGGTATAAGATGCACACACATGATATATGTTTCATACATTTTATTTGCTAAAAACTCGACTCTGTGGAACCAGAGAAGGTTTTCTACAGGTCCATTCCCCATCCCGGGGAAGACCTTACCTGCACAATGGCACAATGGATTACCCGCGCAGCCTATTTATGAGAAAATGAAATGAATATTTTTTAGTGTTTAAGGAAACGTTGAACCTACGCTTGCGAAAGTTCTAAGACATTCAAAGATATTTAATTTCTTCTTTATCAAATCAAGAAACTGGTTATACGTTAAATCAGCAAATAGGGGCCTTTACTTTTGCCATGAATATCACAGAAAAAGATAGAAAGAAAGACAAAGAAATTTAAAAAATCGACTTTTAATCCCCTTTTTCGTAACGACCGGAAGAATTGACGACGGACAAAATGTTGTTCGACACATCTTCAAGTCATGATCTATGATATCCGACACAGTAAACTTTCATATCTTAAGCTGTTCTGGAGAAATGGACCGTACAAAGGTCATTTCCAGAAGTTGGTCAATACGAAAATAGTAAGAATACTAGAAACGAACTTGTTGCGAGCAACGAGAGGTCTTCCGTCCGATTCTGAAAAAAAACTCGTCAAGTCGAGCTGAGAAGTGATTAAAAAATTTTGGTCACAAATTGAATCCAGGTCGCCAGCGTGAAAATCCAATCCGCTTTTCCCCCTTTTATCCCCAACGCGCTAACCTTTACGCTATTGGGAGTACTGCTCTAAATGTACTTGTGTATACTTTTGCTACAGTACACCTATCTAAGAATTATAAAAGACGGGCCATTATTCATAATTTCGTGCCAAACGCAATGTTAAATCTTCGCGCCTTTTCTTTGGACTGATCTATTAAATAGGTGTGATAGCTTCTGAAAAAAGTGTTTTACCAGTAAAAAAAATTTGGACACACGAGGGATTGAACCCGGGCCACCTGTGTGAAAATCCAACGTGAAGACAAATGACCTTAATAACGAGTAAAGATAATTTGAATCCCTCCACAGATACGGTGTATCTGTATGAGCGAACAATTCTGGAATGGGACGTAAAATAACATACAATCAATCAATCAAGTATACAAGCGCAATTCATTCCGCCATCATCGACGTTTACTTTGTACTCATTGCCTGAAATAAAGAGTGTCAGGGAGATTGTTAGTAGAGAACATTTATTACTGAAGAACAGATGATACTGTTTACTTTCTTTAACTCTACATGTATATATATTCAATGTTTTTTCCATGCAATCCAATATAAAGGCATGTCCATGTATTCTATTTCAACCCTTCCGCTGACTTCTTCATCAGACCATTTGTCTACTACGAAAGTGGGGTCACGATATACATTTAGAATATATGTTCTTATAACCCGAATTCATTTAATGTGCCACAAATCTGCATGAAAAATAAATTTTACCAACGTAATATTTACTAAAATATTGATTGCATTAGACAAACCAATTCTTGAAAGGGTGTTACTAATAACTATGGTCTAGGAACAGTTTTTCCGTGGTTCAAACCAAAAGGTAATAGTAATCGTATTTCCAGTTGTAGTCATGTTGTTATCTACTTTGAAATATAGACAAAAACAATAGTGGACGTTTGAGGAAACCTCGGATTAAAACCAATACGAAACAGAATTAAAACGTAAATGTAACGTGACAAGCAAATAATTTCTTCACCTTTCATTTATCCTCAAGGTACATAAGTTTCGTTTAACCAAACGCTTAGCTGATCCCATAAACTCTGATCTGATCATCGGAGACAGTCGCCATTTTTGTCCCGCTTCAGATTTTCAAATGCGAATATGAAGAGTCTGGATTAATCAATTTTAGAATAAATTATAAATTAGGTCTTTCAAGAGAAGTCTCTATAAACCTTACTAATATCAAAGAAAAATGTTGAAAAACAAAAAAGTTGAAAAATTGGAGTTTTTAAAATCGCTTCCGTTCGCGACGGGAAGTACTGACGACACACGAAAAGGAGATATTGCACATCTACAAGCGATGCCCTATATTCTCTAACAAGTCTCCAGGTGATATCTTTAGTCGTTCTTTAGATACGGCGCGGATAAAATTTCATTTTAAACTCAGAAAAATGGCCATAACTTGGAACCGGAAGCGACTTGTTCCAAAATTCTTCCAAATGTAACAATGGCATATAAGAGCGCATTATCCCTGAAAGTTTGAAGAAAGAGCGTCGAATAGTTCTCGAGATATTGCGTGCACAAAATTTGTCTAAAAAATAAGAATAATAATAAGAAACAGTAGAATCACTATAAGGTCTTCCGTGAAGACGGAAGACCTTAATAAGAAACAGAGTAAAAACAATATGTTCCCCAACTTCGTTTGGGGAACATAATTACTGTACATTTATGTAGTTCTCATCATTTTAATGCATTTAATGAACTGATGATTCATTTTTTTTTTTAAATACAAAACCTTTTGCTTTAGGCTGTTCTTGACCAGTTGGACCAGGTTGCTTGTTTGATAGCTGCTATCATACATGATGTGGACCATCCAGGTTACACCAATGCATTTCTTATCAACGAGAAAAATCCTCTGGCCCTTATGTATAATGACCAGTAAGTCTTATTATTGACAGTACCTTGTATTGCATCCAATGCATTTCCATGAAAATTTTCGTACAATTTACATTTGATTTCAGAGCTGTTCTTGAAAACCATCATGCTGCCCTGGGCTTCCAATTGTCTTGGAAAGATAACACTGTCAACATCTTTAAAAACCTAAGTCGGGATGAGTACACCCCACTAAGGGAGACCATCATTGACATGGTGCTGGCTACAGAGATGAAACAACATTTCGAACACCTAAACAAATTTGTTAGTTGTGTAAACAAAAGCACCCTCAAACTAGAAGAAACCTCATCTATGGTAAATCTACATTCTGTAAACATTGACAATAATTAAATTGTGAAAAAAATCTAATGTCGTTGAATTTCAAGTACAAAGGAAGTTTTAGCTCTCATTCTAAATATTTATTTTGATTCGTTAATGGTATGTAATGTAATTATTTGATTTTTCCAGAGTGGGACAGGCTCTCCAGACAGCATGGCTATTATAAATCAGATGTCAACCCCAGAAAACCGTTGTTTAATAAAGCGTATGTTGATTAAGTGTGCTGATGTAAGCAATCCACTTAGAACCACAGAAATGTGCATCGAATGGGCCAAGAGAATTGCTGAGGAATATTTTATACAGGTACAAGATTTAGTTTTAATCGTTGGACAAATTGACAATAAAAAAGAAAATACTTCTGAAAGATATACCTGTAAGTGTACAAGAGGCCTGAGTTCCTTTTTTCTGCAAGTACAGTACATGTATATAAAGGGTTTAATATCCATTAGATCCAGATCCAGAAAAAATAATCCTGTTGCAAATGAAAATCGACTACCCCTCCCCCAAAATGTACTGCTGGTAAAAATTCTCAATAAAAAGCAAACTGAATTTTTCAGTGATTTTTATATTTAAAACAAAAAAGAATTTAACGATTATGAAGGTCGTAATTTTGTAAATAGAAAATAAGCCTACAATCTAACTCTTGATTTAATATCATGATTATTAATATACTGTTGAATAAATCCAATACACCAATAATGCTCCCATTTCCCCTTTTTTTAATTTAAAATTTGCACTTAAAAGGAACAGGACCCTAGCTGTATCTAAAAAAAAAAAGAGGATCAATTAAGCCTTGTTAAAAATTCCTAGAATCCCCCCTCGATCCCCAACATAATCATGCACACAAAATTGCTAACAAGTACAGACTTGATGATTTCAGACTGATGAGGAGAAGAGGAGGAAGTTGCCTGTGGTGATGCCAGCATTTGATAGGAAAACCTGCAGCATACCAAAATCTCAAACCAGTTTTATAGACTTCTTCATTAATGACATGTTTGATGCTTGGGATTGTAAGTTTTTATTGCTGTAATTAAATCCAATAACACTTTTTTTCAGCAAGAGATGTTTTCATTTTTGAAAAAAAAGCTTATTTACTAAATTTGTTATAATCAAAGTATTTGAAAAAAAAGGTAAAGAAGCTAAATAAAAAGCTCAACAAGTAATGGATTTATTTCAATTTTTTATAGATTTTTGTGATATTCCTGATTTAATGAGCCACCTACAAGAGAATTACCGGTACTGGAAGGAGAAATCGGAGGAGGAAGCATCGTGATGCTAAGGACGCTAGTTATGTTTGGACTTCCTGGTTCTGTGAGAACCGGGCTGACCTAGGATAGAAACTAGAGTACCCTGAAGTAGGAACCAGAGTGACTATAGACCGAACTCTTGTGACCATTAGTGGTACAGGTTACTGTGAATTGGGCGGTTTCTGCTATTTTACCTCATTCTTGTATGGACACAAGTGCCAGCATTTAGACTTCAGCAGGATCCAAGTGCGGTAACCCTAACACCAGGAGTGGATGTGATCATTGAAGACATTAGCAATGAAACTCAATGAGGAACATCATGGACTCTAGGAGCGAACATGCAGTCATTTCTATATTTTTGTAAAGATCTCATAGTTGTATTTTGTTCACACAAAACCCAGCCAATAGTGCTATTGGTGTCTTGACTACTATGTGTAAGATATTATGGTTTGGGAGATTCCTGTAGGAGACACTAGCATTGTTTGTGTTAAATATTGTTAAGTTATTCCTAGGCTCTGTTGCTTTTGTGATAAAACTCCTTTTAAACAGGGGTTTTGTTCGAGAGTTGGTTGTACTCTTGTTTATTATTGTTAAATTTTTAATATTTATAACTAGTTCAAAGTTTATTTTGCCAAAATATTTAAGTAAATTTTTAATTCTAAGGAAGTTAGAAAATGTTATATAAGGGTATGTAGCTTTTCAATAATTTTTCATATAATGAATGTCCTTTTATTTACAAATATTAAGGGTCTTTGTGTTTTTCACTTCATTAGTAACAGAATTGTTTTTATGGCACCATAATTTGTCACACAAAATACACAGCCTTGAATTGCTCAATTTGAGGAAAGAGTATACAAAATGTTAAGAATACAAAGTTTTCCATGCTGAGCAGATTTATTTCACAATTAATACAGCACATTATCATACTTTGAAAAATATTTAGGTTAGACATTATCTAAAAGATAGATATTTTTGAAACACTCTAGCAATTAATATATTACTCATCTGATAATACAATATTGAACCTAACCCTTTAACTATTCTTTTTAACCAGCTTTTACATAGTTATGTAGAAATAAATGTTTTCTAAAGAAATATATATAGAATAAGATGAAATAGACTTAGTATTTAAACTCTCATTTTATTTCTTCATTCTTATTTCAAGGAAAGAATACAACCAAAGAAAACATTTAATTTTTCTCTGTTTATTAAAAAAGCCAAGAAAGTTAAAATTCATGCATAAACAATTCAGGAACTGACGGTGTAACTGTTTTAAATATTGCCTTCTTACAAAATGAAAGTGAGCTTTAGATCTAGTCATTCCCCCCTTTATTTGTTTGCTTAATTAATGTGATAGATTGTTGTTCTGTGATTTTATATTTGTGATTAATGAAAAAATGGCAGACGTGTGATATAAGTTACAAATTCTGTTGTGAAAATGCATTTGCCAAAAAAGAAAAATGATATATTCCAATTAGATTATAAAAGCTCACATGTATTACTCTACCCACTGGTGGGTGCCAAAATAGAAAATGTTGTACCTCAATTTATTAAAGTGATACCACGTTGCCCATTTAGAAGTGACTAGCATTTGAATATGCTCAAACTGTTTTTTTTTTGTTTTTTTTAATGTGAGAATGTTTTCCTCGCTGTCATGTATAGTGAGCATAGAATGAATGTCCCCAGGTGTCAAGTATTGTAACTACCTTATGTCTGTCAAGTTATATAACCAGATTAATGTAGTTCATTATCTCTATTGTTCTTGTCGAAAAATATCACCTATTGTGTACCTTAGAAATGTTATGTCTAATTTATTCTATATGCATACATTACTCTTGTATTTATCTTTTTTTTGCGGCTGAAAGTTTGGAAATCGCCAGGAATTTCCTTCAGGTACTATAGAATTTGAACTGTAAGGATATGGATTCCACTATATTCTTACACACTTTGTTAACATAATTACCTCACTGCCTGGGCAAACATTTCTACAGCATAGGACTAGGAGGGGGATTCCAGACAACCTGACTTGGATTGGGGGATTAGATATAGTAGGACCAGTGATTCTTTTCTGTCTTGGACTTCTGTATCTTGGTCGATTCCATCCAATCATCCGTCCATCTAGGGGGTCAAAGTTAAATAGGTTGTCTTAAAGTCCATCACTATCAAACAATCTTACAATTTGAATGTTAGCAATAGTCTTATACTGAATTTTTATCAAGAACATTATACTTTTAGACTGTGTCAGTGTGTTTTTTAAAAACCGGTTTACGTATTATTATTTGTTTATTTTTGTACTAGTAGTTCAACAAGGGTATATGGAGGATGGAAATTAAGAATGGTGAGGAGTTCTAGGACCCCTACCAGTTCAGTATTTGGGAGTGTATTGCTAAGGTCAAATTTCCAAGGTCAAAGAGAATGGGATTTCATTTTCGAGATCTGAAAAAAACGTGATCCCTATGATATCCAGGGAACAATGAGAAACGTACTCTGAGGGTATGGGTTATGTATGTGTAGCTAGTTGTTATCAATATCATCATATGTAATGTTATACTCCCTGTAGATAAATTGATATTTGCATTTTATTTAGAATTATTGCGTTTCAATTAGATATTAAAAAAACATTTCTATGTTATAATGAGGCTTGACCGATTTTCTTCAAATTTACACCTCTATCCTTCAGTGAAGATGTGCAGAATTTAACAAGAAAATAACTCCTCAAGACACAGATACATATATCCATATTGTAAACTTTTTTCTAGTTAAGAATTCTTAGTACAAGCAGCTGCAATTATTATGTGTATGGACAATTAGTGAAGTGCCTCTACAATATTGATTGCTTTCACTCTTAATAGGGCATTTAATTACTGAAATAATTTAATATGAAAGGATTACCTCTGTATATGTAAGTAAGCTTTTAAACTGATACATTGTCTTAAATGTTTATTCTCCCAGTTTGTAAACCACAGTTGACATTGGCGGTATGTCCTTCCGGGGTCATCCTGTATGTATTTTGGCCAATGATTGGAGAAAATCCTGCTCACTCTTACTGCTGGACAGCTGTACAAAAGTTTTGTTATGAAAAATGTGTAATAAATTATATGAAATGTTCTTTTGCTTTTCATAGTTGTAATATTTTTAGTATACTTGAGTCACTCATGGTGATTTTTGCTATCTATGTTTTTCTCCATCATCTTTATTAGCTCACCTGAGCCGAAGGCTCAAGTGAGCTTTTCTGATCAAAATTTGTCCGTCGTCTGTCGTCGTTGTCATAAACTTTTCACATTTTCATCTTCTTCTCAAGAACCACTGGGCCAATTTCAACCAAACTTGCTACAAAGTATCCTTGGGTAAAGGGGATTCAAGTTTGTTTAAATGAAGGGCCACGCCCTCTTCCAAGGGGAGATAATCATGAATTTGTTAAAAATTAATGGCATTTTTAAAAAATCTTCTTCTCAAGAACAGCTGGGCCAGGAAACATGAAACTCATGTGGAATCATCCTCAGGTAGTGTAGATTCAAGTTTGTTCAAATCATGACCCCCGGGGGTAGGGTGGGGCCAAAATGGCCGATCAAAGTTTTACATAGGAGTATATAGGAAAAATCTTTAAAAATCTTCTTCTCAAGAACCACTGGGCCAGGAAAGATGAAACTCATGTGGAATCATCCTCAGGTAGTGTAGATTCAAGTTTGTTCACTCATCATGACCCCCAGGGGTAGGGTGGGGCCAAAACGGCCGATCAAAGTTTTACATAGGAGTATATAGGAAAAATCTTTTAAAATCTTCTTCTCAAGAACCATTGGGCCAAGAAAGATGAAACTCATGTGAAATTATCTTCAGGTAGTGTAGATTCAAGTTTGTTCATATCATCACTCCCGGGGGTAGGGTGGGGCCAAAATGGCCGACCAAAGTTTTACATAGGAATATATAGGGAAACCTTTTAAAATCTTCTTTTCTAGTACTTCAAAGCCATGATTAGTAATATTTATATGGAATCATCCTCAGGTAATGTAGTGTAACAAGTCGAGCGGACCCTTGTCACAAAATAAAAACTCCATTGTCAGGCATAACAAGTTTTTATTTAGGATGGCAACAATCAAACAACAACAACGAATGAGATGCTGACCATTCAGACAATCAATTGACCCGAAAAAAAAGGGGGGGTGAACTTGTCTTGACTATACTTTATACAGTTTATTTATTTAAGTATTCAAACTAGTATCTGCAAACAACCTTAGCTCTCGGACTCGAAGTGAAATAACTTTGCGTAAATACTTGCGTTAAAATAATTATGAATTTATTTTTTAATATGCGTCAATCCAGACAGTCCCTAACTATCTATATTCTAAATCTGTATTAAATATCTCCAGCTATCAACTTTATTA